TGCCCAAGCTCATATTGAATACGCCCAGATAGATCACCAGCGTCGCGCGGGTTTCCCCGCAGTGGATCACCATCGATTAATTCCGCGCTTGTCGGCTTTCCAATTGCCCGATGATAAAGCAGTGCGTTTGCTTCCTCGTCTGTCGAAGGAATGGTAAAAGCTGAGTCCGCGGGTGCCCCCGCCAGGCCAAAATCGCCTTCGACGGGCATGTGGAAATTCTCGACAAACTCAATATCCGCAGGTTGCCCCGCGATGGGTACACCCAGCCACGCTGCCATGTCGACGTCGCTGTGGCCAGTGAACACATCCTCGAACAACTCATCGGCGTAATTCTCGAGGGTCATGCTGGCACTCAGACACCTGGCAACCGTGAAATGAATAAGTATGGCTGAGCCGTCGGCAGGGTCGGCTAGAAGCGGCCCCCCATCAACATGCGGCATGTCGGAGTCCGTGTGCGCCAGATGCATTGACGGACCCCTGCCTCTGCCATCACCTTGGAGGCACTCACGTCGGAAATGTTGTGCACTGTGACATATGTCGCACTCCATGGTTTTACCCGGGCATCCTTTGGATTTCCTCGTCGTCCTTTACCTTGACCTGTTGTATGCCTGCGGTTTCTGCCACTACCTAAAACACATTTCCTCATGCTGAGGTCCAGTGAGAGACGCTAGGAATGCGAGTATGGTTCTACCATGTAGTCGCTGACGCTTACCTTTGCCATTACTTCGAACCTTGCCCTTTCCTTCTTAAGTGACAGTCGTACAATGCGTATTACCCTGCGGACTGGTTTCTTCATGAACCTCCGCCAACGACGCTTGTGCTTTCGATAGCCCAAACAATAACAGTTGAGCTTGCTGCTCTTCCGTGAGGTATGTAGGCATATCAGAGTAATCCAAGGCGGTAGCTTCATCATCGGAAGACGTATCCGCATCGGAACCGGAGTCGAAGTCGGACTCGGCGGGTTGCCCCGCTGAGCCCATTAGGGTCATAGCTTGTACGGGGGGAAGCCGAGTCGAGCGGTCCCCCAGATCTGGCCCAGGGACCTTGCGACCCCGGAGCCGCTCCACCATTCTGAGCCAACAGTGTAGTGGTCTGAGTTGGCTGTGCATCGTCATTCCAGACGTTGTTGGCAGGTTGCCCTGCGTTGGCCTCTGCGTGGGAAGTCTCGGTTCTGTGACCGTTGCTAAAGATGCCACCAATATTGCCAGGGGTCCTCTCAGCTATGTGAGCATGCGACCTCATGCAGTCACGTAGAGCGTCAAAGTGTGGTTGGTCCCTCGGCAGGCGGTGGTTCAGAGGCTGCAGGAGTTGTTGTGCACGCGACGTCCCCAGTCCAAGAACTCTGAATAGAATTACTGCTAGTATTTGGAAGTTGGGGATGTTGAAGCCGGCGGTTTCAGCTTCGTCGCGGGCCAATTCGAACCGTGCTAACGTCTGGTCGATACGTTCACCCACATGGACTCGAAAGTCAAGTAGAGCCGAGCCAGAGTTGAGTTGGCGTTCCTCTTCTAGGTTCTCGAACTTCGTACTTAAGAGGAACATAATGTAGATGACGCCGTCAGTGTGGCGACCGCCTCTATTGACACCAAAGTTAATGACTGCTGGAGGGACTCTCATGGCTCTGGTCCGTGCGAAACCTCCCATACCGCGCTGCAGTGCGGCGGCCTGCTGGGAGGGCGTCGTGTTGCCTGTGGTCACATTGATCCAGGCATGTACTTCGCGGACGAACTCGTGAAATGGTACTTGACCGGCAGGGGCCCAATGGCGGCCAGTCGTTCTAATGTCGTCTCCGCCCCGCATGTCCTACCGCACACCCAATAGCAACCCATATGAGGCCAAACATAGCAACCCCAATCCAGCGGCCTCGCGGGTCATAGTCGGGTGTAGACGGTGGGGGCTTATGTCTCGTAGTCGTAAGTCTGCGTGGGGTCGGAGGCGGCAGTATATCGTATCGCACGTTTCCATGCATTATGTCTTCGAAAAAATTCCAATTGGAGTAGGTGGATGGACTTCAGGTGTGTAATAGCACAGGGATGTAAGATGTGAGTAAGGGACCTCCGCTCGGACAGACGCATTGCTGCAAGTTTCTTCGCGGTACTGCGTTGTTATGTACACTCCTCCGCGCAATCCCACTGCACCCTGATGTTCCACCATATCCGTAGTCCACCAGATACTGCCGTGGATGGTGAGGAGTAGAGCCAGAGCTGACCACCATAGGCCAGCTCCGCTACCAAGTTTGAAGGGGGCTGGAAGGCCCAGTCAACAGCTTCGCCTCAGGCGAAGCCAAGCTCCAGCTCTGTTGTACCTTAGCAACGATAGTCCCAATATACAAAGGAGATGCCATCTCAAGCAATAGGAAAATCCTTTTGGTCTCGATGGCGATTGTGTGCCTCGCGGTGAGGCACAGTCAAATTTGGGCGGCCGGCCGCTTGAGCCGACGCGGCCGCGGGCGCACGCTCGCTTCCACTCCTTGCGTCCCTCAGCTCGCTTTAGGGTCCGCCACCGCCGCGTCCGATGTCCTATGGTGCCCCGTAGGCTTCCTGGTCCTCCTCCCCCCTTTGCCTGTCCCTTATGTTTTTTCTTTGTCTTCGTCGACGGCGGCGCGCCTGCGGCGGCCCTGACGCCAGAGGCCCCAAAATACTCCCCCAAGACGTCGTCCCCCAGAAGCTCCAAGAGGCCCCCGAGGAGGCAACAAGCATTGATTGCCGTTCGATTGTTCAATGATGCTGAAATTCTCGCCTCTGGGTTTCCGACCATCCAAGCCGGCCCAAGATGCCTTCAATATAGTCCCAAAACAACCCATGAAGCCCCCAAAGAGGGCCCCAAGTCGGCCCAACAGGACCCCAAGATCGCCCAAGAGTCTCGCATGAGGGCCCCAAGACGGCCTTAAAGCGCTCCAAGAGGGCATCCAGAGGGCCCAAAGAGGCCCCCAAGACGGCCTCCGACTGCGTCACACGCGCCAAGAGCCCCCCTGAGACTGCCCAGGAAGTCCCAAGAGGCTCCCAAAAGGCTCTCAAGAGGCCCAAGGAGGCCCGTAGCAGGTCCCCGGGAAACCCACAGAGAGCCCCTGAGAGGCCTTCTCCTCCTTGTCTTCATGTTCTCCCGCTTCACGCGGATATGTTGGCGCTCCAGGGGGGCAGGGTTCACAAGGACCTCTCCTTTTTTGATCGATGGTTTCCAAGCTGGTCCCAAGACGGCCCCAAGAGAGCCACAAGATGGCCTCAACGGACCTCGAAATAGCCCACAGAGGGCCCCAAGAGGGCTCCACCAGGCTAACAGGACGAAAGGTCTGCATCAGCGAAGGCCTTTTCTGGTTGAATCGTCGTCGTCGCCGTCGCCTTTTTCCTCTCGGATCCTCGTCTTCCAACTCCTCCTCCTTCTCCTCCTTTTTCCTCCTCCTCCTCCTCCAACAGGTTTCTCCTCCTCCTCCTCGTCGTCGTCTGTCTCTCTCCTCCTCCTCCTCCTCCTCCTCCTCCTCCTCCTCCTCCTCCTCCTCCTCTTCCTCCTCCTCCTCCCACCTAAGGTTAAACATAAATTCAGTGGGGGGCGTTGTCTGTCAAACTCATATTCTGTCTGTCCTCCTCATCCTCCTGATCCTTTTTCCATCCTGGTTCCTCCTGTTCATCCTTCGCATCCGAGTTCCGTATTATCTTCATTTTCCTCTTCCCCTTCCTTAACACCATTATCGTCATGATCACCGTCATCATTATCATCAGGGTCACCTACACCATCATCAGCATCATCAGAAACCTCATCATCACCGTCACCGTTGTTATCATAACCCGCATCATAAACATAGCCATCGCCATCATCATGAGCATCATCGCCATCATCATCACCATCGCCGTCGTCATCATGATCAACATCATCCGCAGCAACATCTTCAGCACCATCGTGGACGAAACCATCATCTGCATCATCAGCAGAATCCTCATCACCATCATCAATCAGCAGCAACATCATCATAAGGAGCAACAACAGCATCAGCATCATGATCATCGTCCTCATCATCCGAACAATCGCCATCCCCACCATCATCATCATCATCATCGTCATCATCATCATCATCATCATCATCATCATGATCATCATCATCAGCATCATCATCATCATCATCATCATCATCATCGTCCTAGTCATCATAGTTACCATCATCGTCATCATCATCGTTATCGTCATCATCATCACCGTCAAGATCAGCATCATCATGACCACGGCCATCGCCATTGTCATCTTCATCATCATACTCACTATCAGCATCATCATTAGCAGCAGTAGCGTTGGAATCAGCATCGTCATCATCCGTATCATCAGTGTCATCGGTATCATCATCATCATCAGCATCAGCATCATCATCATCAGCATCATCATCATCATCATCCTCCTCATCATCATCATCATCATCATCATCATCATCATCATCATCATCATCATCATCATCATCATCATCATCATCATTATTATTACTAGTATTACTATCATTATTAGTATCATAGTCCTTGCCCCCCTCCTACCCCTCGTTCGACAGGCCCGCGAACAAATATTAGGTGCACTCATGGGTATGATCAAGCTGATCCCAAAAATCTTGTTGATGGCTTCCTATCCTTCGTTCCTCCTTTCTTGCACTGCATGCTTCTACGCCTCCCTGGTCAAGGCGACTCGCCTGGACATCGCTGCTGTCTGGGCGAATGGGGATACGCGACGCGTCAATTGACGATTGTTGACCTCTTCGCTCCTCCATGTGGTCATCAACTTGAAGTCCTGGATGGGATGATGGCTATGTCAACGCGACGTGGCGCGAAATGGCAAGACGTGCCAAAGGCAACCATAATTTTCAACGAGGGGGGGCGCAGACGGCGGAGCGCCTCCTCAACCATGCACACTGTACTTCCAGCGCTCTATTGGCACTGGCAAGCCTGGCGCGCCAACAGACGGTGTCGGACAAGATGAACCAGCACGGTTGCAGTATTGTGCGCAGGCCACACCCAAATTGCAGAAGCTCACCGACCTCCCAATATGCCGCTGATGGCCGAGTCGTCCCAGCGCCACTGGTCCCTAGACGGCACCCAGCTCTTCAGCCAGCACTCGTGGCTGCCCTGAATGAAGGTCCACGCCGCGCACCCCGACTGCTCGCCGCAGCGGTTGCAGCACGCCTGCGGGTCCTGGGACCAGGGAGCTTGCAGCAAATTGTTGCCGTCGCTGTTCACGTGTTCCTCCCAGCTGCACTTGGTGTCTGGGCTGGGGCTCGGGCTTGGGCTGCTGGGGCACTCGCACCTGTCCGAACCACACTGCGGGCACGCCACGTCACCTGGGGGGCACATCTGCTGCAGGTAGGGGTTGCAGTAGATCGTCTCGGAGAGGAGGCCCTGGAGCGTACTGCTGCTTGGCGCATCAACGGCCGCCTGGAGGCTCGGCGCCCCGATTTGGCCGCTGATGGCCGAGTCGTCCCAGCGCCACTGGTCCCTAGACGGCACCCAGCTCTTCAACCAGCACTCGTGGCTGCCCTGAATGAAGGTCCACGCCACGCACCCCGACTGCTCGCCGCAGTGGTTGCAGCACGCCTGCGGGTCCTGGGGCCAGGGAGCTCGCAGCAAATTGTTGCCGTCGCTGTTCACGTGCTCCTCCCAGCTGCACTTGGTGTCTGGGCTGGGGCTCGGACCTGGGCTGCCGGGGCACTCGCACCTGTCCGAACCACACTGCGGGCACGCCACGTTACCTGGGGGGCACATCTGCTGCAGGTAGGGGTTGCAGTAGATCGTCTCGGAGAGGAGGCCCTGGAGCGAACTGTCGCTTGGCGCAGCAGCGGCCGCCTGGGGGTTCGGCGCCCCGATTTGGCCGCTGATGGCCGAGTCGTCCCAGCGCCACTGGTCCCTAGACGGCACCCAGCTCTTCAACCAGCACTCGTGGCTGCCCTGAATGAAGGTCCACGCCACGCACCCCGACTGCTCGCCGCAGTGGTTGCAGCACGCCTGCGGGTCCTGGGACCAGGGAGCTTGCAGCAAATTGTTGCCGTCGCTGTTCACGTGCTCCTCCCAGCTGCACTTGGTGTCTGGGCTGGGGCTCGGACCTGGGCTGCCGGGGCACTCGCACCTGTCCGAACCGCACTGCGGGCACGCCACGTCACCTGGGGGGCACATCTGCTGCAGGTAGGGGTTGCAGTAGATCGTCTCGGAGAGGAGGCCCCGAAGCTGCCTCTTGGGCGCCGTCCTGTTGAAGCCCAGGCTCAGCGGGATCTGCAGCAGGAGCAATCGGAGGGAGCTGCCGAACGCCATGGCCGATCGCAGGAAGGCCAGAGGAGGCTCGCGGAGGCGACGTGCGGAACAGAGCTGGTAAACACCTTCTGGAACACTGAGGTACTCCACAATCCCGCGGCCTCGAGAATTCACCCTCCCCTCTCCCCTCTCCGAGGCCGCCGCTACTGGTTTCGAGGACCGGCCCCGCCACCGCCGCTTCCGATGTCCTATGGCGCCCCTTAGGCCTCCTGGTCCTCCTACCCACTTTGCCTGTCCCTTGCGGTTTGTGTTCGTTCGCCGACGGCGACGCGCTTGCGGTGGCCCTGACGCCAGAGGCCCCAAAATATTCCCCCAAGACGACGTCGTCCCCCAGAGGCTCCAAGAGGCCCCCGAGGAGGCAACAAGCATTGATTGTCGTTCGATTGTTCAATGATGTTGAAGCTCTCGCCTCTGGGTTTCCGACCATCCAAGCCGGCCCAAGATGCTTCCAAGATAGCTCCAAGACAGCCCATGAAGCCTCGAAAGAGGGGCCCCAAGTCGGCCCAACAGGACCCCAAGATCGCCCAAGAGTCTCGCATGAGGGCCCCAAGACGGCCTGAAAGCGCTCCAAGAGGGCATCAAGAGGGCCCAGAGAGGCCCCCAACACGGCGTCACACGCGCCAAGAGCTCCCTAAGACTGCCTAAGAGGTCCCAAGAGGCCCCCAAAAGGCTCTCAAGAGGCCCCAAAGAGGCCCCTAGCAGGTCCCGAGGAAGCCCCCAGCCAGAGAGCCCCTGAGAGGCCTTCTCCTCCCTGTCTTCATGTTTTCCCGCTTCACGCGGAGATGTTGGCTCTCCAGGGGGGCAGGGCTCACAAGGACCTCTCCTTGTTTAGTCGATGTTTTCCAGGCTGGTCCCAAGAGGGCCCCAAGAGAGCCACAAGTTGGCCTCAACGGTCCCCGACATAGCCCAAAGGGGGCTCCAAGAGGCTAACAGGACGAAAGGCCTGCATCAACGAAAGCCTGTCTGGTTGAATCGTCGTCGCCGTCGCCTTGCTCCTCCAAAAACAGACAACTTACTCCAACCAACCAACCGTGCCGGTCCCCGGCAATCAGCCCATCGTGGACCGAACGCCGAACGCGCGAGCGCGTCGACCAGCCCCCTCTGCCCCGCGCGATGCCCGTCTGAAACTTCAGAGAACTTTGCTTCCACCGCAGTGCGGTGTGCCACTGGCTCTGAGGCTCTCGGCCGTTCGGGCCCCCGGCCGCAGAGAGGCGGCCTCCGAGACGGCCCCAGGACAGCCGATGAGGCCCCGTAAAGATGCGCGAGGTCGGCCCAGCAGGACCCAATATCGTCCGAGCGCCTCCCAAAAGGGCCCCAGGAAGGCCCCAATCGGCGTCGCACCAAGATACTTATCCTATATGTGCGCCGCCCACCCAGGGGCGACGCGCGCACCGAGACATCTTATGGTCAGAGTGAGGGGGCCGAACGGTCACTCATTGTCCCTGAGTGTGTGGCTGAAGTGCGGATCCGTGGTGAGGATATTGCTTGAGAGAGAACAATCTTAAAATGATTGTTGTTGTTGTCGTCGTCCCCCCCGGGACCCGGCCCGCGACCCACCCGCGACCCACCTCGCGACCCACCCGCGACCCACCCCGCGACCCAACCGCGACCCACCCGCGACCCACCCCGCGACCCGCTCGCGACCCACCCACGACCCACCCGCGACCCACCCACGACCCACCCGCGACCCACCCGCGACCGGACCCACGACCCACCGTCGACCCACCAGCGACCCACTTGCGACCCAACCCGCGGCCCACCGACAAGGTTTTAACAACAAATCGGCGCATGCTGCGGGCACGTTGTATAGCTTGAAAATTCTGCGCCTGTGGTAGGCTTCTTCAAAGCCTCGCATACTGCCGACGTCCCCGCTGCCCCCTCACTCTTATCCGCAACTGCGGGGTGCCACGTATGTGCGTCGTGGCGGGCACGTTCTGGCCGCACCACTCGCGAAACGATATGCTACAAGATGGGCATGCTATATGTTCGGGTCGGACGCACGCCTCCAAGGAGGACATATCGTATCAGTGTGTCTCTGTGCGTCCCACCTATAGCGCTCCCAGAGGGCACCAACACCGCCCAGCGGGGCTCCCAACGCGGCGTCCGACGGCGTCACGCGGGCCAGCAGCCCCCCGAAGACTGCCCCAGAGGCCCCCAACAGGCCCCCTACGAGGGCCCGCGTGGGCCTCCGCGCAGCCCCTCAAGAGGCCCCCAGCAGGTCCCCAGGAAGCCCCAACAGAGCCCCTGAGAGGCCTTCGCCTCCTCGTCTTCATTCTCCCCCGCTCCACGCGGGGATGTTGGCGCTCCAGGGGGGCAGGGTTAACTACAGGTTTCCGCCTGACCTAAGGAACGATAAATAAGGAACGAGGCCGCTTTTGTTCCAAGTAAATCTACGGAATCCGAAGAAACACCAGGGGGGGCCGCCGCCAAAAAGGTAGCAAAACGCATGCAAACCAAAGGTGCGATCGAGCCCATTCCGAAAAGCACGCGTTCCTTAGTCAAGCCGGACCCTGCAAGACCTCTCCTTCTTTGATCGATGTTTGCCAACCCGGTCACAAGAGAGTCATGCCAGGCCGCGAGGAGGGCGCCAAGAGAGCCCAGAAGGGGGCCCGAACGGCCCCCCAGGTGAACCCCGCGCCCCCTCGACGTCCTTTCGAAGGGGGGGAGTTTCGCCCCGCGCCGTTTTCGTGACAGCCGTGGAACCCGAGGACACGACCCGGATCGACTATCGTTGAACCGATCCCCATCCCCAGCGGCGTGGCCTGGGCCCCACTGGCCGATTCACCCCCCCTAGATGGGGACATAGGCCGTCCCCTTCGGCTTTTTCGAGGGGCGCATCCCCGACGTGGGGCGGCGATCTGGCGGGGGTCTCGAAGGGGAGGGCGATGGGGATGGGGGGTCGGTTAACCGATACCGACGGGCGCCGAAAATGGTGAGACGCACTTCCGCCCTGGTTTCTGCAGAAGTCGGGGAACTGCGACATCCGCTTAAGTCGGGCCTGTCCCCCTACGAGGGGACATTGGGCGAAACATGAAAATATGCAGAGAATGCCCCAACATGGTCCAAAAATGCTCCAAAGATAGCCCCTCGACTATCTTTGTACTATTGTTTTGATTACTTTTGGGGTGTGTTGAATTTTTCGTCGAGTGCTGGGCGTTTCCGAAGGATGTTGCGCACTGTTTGGCGCGTGTGTGCACCTTGGTCAGCATGGACGGCGGTGTCCATGACGTTGCACTGCACCACCATGTATCGATCAGATCCATCGTCAATCCGCGGATGATACGCTGGATTGATCTTCGCGTGGTTGGAAGTGCGCATCCTGTCCCAGAATTCCTTGCATTCCGGCGATACCTCCAACGCAGGGGCAGGTTGCCCCGCTGAACTCTGAGCAGGTGGTGGCCCCGCAGAGCTCTGAGCAGGTTGCCCCGCAGAACGCGGGGCAGCCATTGGTGCGGCAGGCGCTGCTGCGCTCGCTGCCGATGCTGTAGCGCCTTCAGATCCTCTGGGCGTCCTTGGAGTTCCTTGCGGGGTACTGATATCGAAGTCCTGGTGCTTCTTCTCCTGGACGTTGTAGGTCTCGGCAATCTTATCTCTGGGCACTGCTCCTGGCACCTTTGGTGCGGTAGCAAGGAGCTTCTCAGTGCGTTGCGTAGAGGAAGCATCCCTTGTCCCTCCTTCCAGCGCAGGCACCCATCCTGCCCTGTGCGTCCGACCTGGTGCAGGGCCGCGACGTGGAACAGGTTCTTTCGGAGTGAACGTACTGGTGCCCTGAAATCTAGCTGCTGCGGCGGCCACTGCTGGCCCTCTGGAACGTTGTCGATCAGCAGGTTGCCCCGCGCGTCTCTGCTGCTTGCTGCCCCCAGGGTTGGGATCACCTGGGCTCTTCCTCTTCTTATTATTCTTCTTCTTATTCTTATTATTCTTCTTCTTCTTCTTGAGCTTAAGATCGGGACCGAGAGATTGGCATGATGAGTCCGAAGACGAGGGAAGATCGATCATCTCTGGCTTCGGCGTGGGAGTTGCCTTTGCCGCAGCTCCTGCCGGCGCCCCAGGTGCATCTCGCATGGGGCCTCGGTCGGGATTCAGATCGATACCACCTGGCTTCCTGAGGGCCGCATTCTCAATAGTTGCCTTGTGTTTCTGCGCAACTAAGTACTTATCGGCGTTCCGTCTTTCGACGATGCGTGTCTTTATCCAGCCAATAGACTGAGCGCGGTAAACAATCTGCCTCCCGGGAGATAGACCCATATCTCTTGCAACAGCGCCCTCGGGGTCGATCGGAGCATCCGCATCACACGCGCCGACCGCAATGCCCGAGTCGCTTGGCTCGCCGCCGTCAGGGGCAGCGTTCTCGTTGAACCGATCCCCATCCCCAGCGGCGCGGCCTGGGACCCACTGGCCGATTCACCCCCCCTAGATGGGGACATGGGCCGCCCCCTTCGGCTTTCGAGGGGCGCATCCCCGACGAGGGGCGGCGATCTGGCGGGGGTCTCGAAGGGGAGGGCGATGGGGATGGGGGGTCGGTTAACCGATGCCGACGGGCGCCCAAAATGGTGAGGCGCACTTCCGCCCTGGCTTCCGCAGAAGTCGGGGAACTGTGACTTCCGCTAAAGTCGGGCCTGCCCCCCTACGGGGGGACATTGGGCGAAAACAAAAATGCGCAGATAATGCCCCAACATGGTCCAAAAATGCTCCAAAGATAGCCCCTCGACTATCTTTGTACTATTGTTTTGATTACGTTTGGGGTATGTTTCATTGTTCGTCGAGTGCTGGGCGTTTCCGGAGGATGTTGCGCACTGTTTGGCGCGAGTGTGCACCCTGGTCAGCATGGGCAGCAGTGTCCATGACGTTGTACTGCACCACCATGCATCGACCAGATCCATCGTCAATCCGCGGATGATACGCTGGATTGATTCTTCA